AGAGGTATTATTCAGAAAAGCCCAGGAAGCCGGCTCAGATAGATTGGAAGCTCTTGGGTAGCAACTACCTTTTTGTTTTCGGTTTACATGGCATCTAGCACAATTAGGTCTTAGTCCATAATGGGGGCTCCTAAGCGTTACCACAATACAAATAATTTCTAGCCAGGCTGTTTGTAAGCTGCAACTTGTTCTGCTGAAAACTTCCATCTCCTCCTGTGTCTCTTACCTCACATGAGTAGCCTCACTGAGGTTAACAGGACCATTTACATGGATAGAGGTTTCCAGGATTAGGTCACAGGCTTGTGTTATTTTCTTCCTTGGAAAGTCACTTGGTGCTGAAGACGGTGTAGCATGAACTGATTGAAGGTAGCAAATGCATGAGAGACAGTACAGGTCTCCATGAGCCAGCTACTGTTTGAAGGTGTAAACTCTTCAGGGCAAGGAATGTGACCTCATGCTAACTGTGGTAGATAACTTAAGTGAAACAGTGCCAAAGGGATTTGAATCCTAGAAGAAAAATTAAACAATTTTAAAAATGTTAATGTTAGTGGGGTATTGAGCACAGAAGTTCTCCCCACCCCAGAAACCCTCCATTTTCACTTTGCAGTTCTGTTAAGAAGGGTTGCCCTGGCTTTCATAAAATACAGTGAAATGGCCCTTCCAAAGTAACACACAGAGGGGAGGGAGGGAGGGCTGGAACACTGGACTTCATTAGTTTACACCGTTGCTTCTGTTAATAGTAGTAATTAGGGCTGTCAAGCAATTAAAAAAATTGATCGCGATTAATTGCACTGTTAAACAATAATAGGATACCATTTAAGTTTTTCACATATATTGATTTTAGTTACAATACAATGCTCACTTTATATTTATTTTTTATTACAAATATGTGCTGTAAAAACAAAATCAATAGTATTTTTCAATTCATCTCATACAAGTTCTGTAATGCAATCTCTTTATCATGAAAGTTGAACTTACAAATGTAGAATTACGTAAAAAAACTGCATTCAAAACTAAAACAATATAAAACTTTAGAGCCTACAAGTCCACTCAGTCTTACTTCTTGTTCAGCCAATTGCTCAAACAAGTTAGTTTACATTTGTAGGAGATAATGCTGCATGCTTCTTGTTTACAATGCCATCTGAAAGTGAAAACAGGCGTTCGCGTGGCACTGTTGTAGCTGACGTCGTAAGATATTTACATGCCAGATATGCTAAAGATTCATATGTCCCTTCATGCTTCAACCACCATTCCAGAGGACATGCGTTCATGCTGATAATGGGTTCTGCTCAATAACAATCCAAAGAAGTGCAGACCAACACATGTTTATTTTCACTACTGTATCTGAGTCAGATGTCACCAGCAGAAGGTTGATTTTCTTTTTTTGGTAGTTTGGGTTCTGTAGTTTCTACATCGGAGCGTTGCTCTTTTAAGACTGCTGAAAGCATGCTCCACACCTCGTCCCTCTCACATTTTGGACGGCACTTCAGATTTTTAAACCTTGGGTCGAGTGCTGTAGCTATCCTTAGAAATCTCACATTGGTACCTTCTTTGCATGTTGTCAAATCTGCAGTGAAAGTGTTCTTAAAACAAACAACGTGCTGGGTCACCATCCGAGACTGCTATAATGTGAAATACATGGCAAAATGCGGGTAAAACAGAGCAGGAGACATATTATTCTCCCCCAAGGAGGAGTTCAGTCAAAATTTAATTAATGCATTTTTTTTTTTAACGAGCACCATCAACATGGAAGCACGACCTCTGGAATGGTGACCAAAGCATGAAGGGGCATATGAATGTTTAGCGCATCTGGCATGTAAATACCTTGTAACGCCAGCTACAAAAGTGCCATGTGAACGCCTGTTCTCATTTTCAGATGACATTGTAGATAAGAAGCCGGCAGCATTATCTCCCATAAATGTAAACAAACTTGTTTGTCTTTGCAATTGGCTGAACAAGAAGGAGGACTGAGTGGACTTGTAGGCTCTAAAGTTTTACATTGTTTTGTTTATGAGTGCAGTTATGTAACAAAAAAGTCTACATTTGTAAGTTTCACTTTCATGATAAAAAGATTGCACTTCCGTACTTGTATGAGGTGAATTGAAAAAATACTATTTATCATTTTTACAGTGCAAATATTTGTAATAAAAATATAAAGTGAGCACTGTACACTTTGTATTCTGTGTTGTAATTGAAATCAATCTGAAAATGTAGAAAAACATCCAAAATATTTAATAAATTTCAGTTGGTATTCCATTGTTTAATAGTGCGATTAAAACTGTAATTAATCACGATGAATTTTTTTTGAATATGAGAGGGGTAGCCGTGTTAGTCTGGATCTGTAAAAAGCGACAGTCTATAAGGTACCACAGGACTCTGTCGAATTTTTTTGAGTTAATCGCGTGAGTTTACTGCGATTAAATCAACAGCGCTAGTGGCGATGTCATCACGACCCCCAGGAATCCCACTCAACGACCAGGATCCCATTGCACTAGGCACTGTACTAAGAGAACAGTTGTTGCCCCAAAGAGCACTTTTGTCTAACTTTGTTCATTGGAAGAAATATTCCATAACCATGTTTTAAAGGCCTTTCTCCACCTGTGACCAACGGCCTTAAGTGCAAGAGATCAGTACGTGTCTTCAAAAGCCTACTGTTCCAAGTACTCATGATCTTGATGCATCATTCTTGATATCGGGAATTTGGTGAGATGTTACATTGCTAATCAGCAGAGATACCAGACCTGGTGAAGCACCCTGGATTGGATTACACTCTGAAGAGCAGGCTTAACAGTAGAGGGGCAGGAAAGGATGTTGCACTGATGCTTTATAAAGCCCATAGCAGAGGGTAGGTGGTTGAAGTAAGCAATCTCCACACACACACAAAAGCAAGCCTCTCCAAAATAAACTTCCGTTCCTAGCTATGCCAGCCAGGAAGCCATGGTAACACTATTCTATGGAATGTTTAAAACAATCCTCTTGCTAGAGCAGAGGTGGGCAAACTACGGCCATTCTGCCTGGCCCCTGAGCTTCTGGCCCGGGAGGCTTGCCCCCGGCCTTTCCCCCCCGCTGTTCCCCCTTCCCCGCAGCCTCAGCTCACTGCGCCGCAGGCACAATGCTCTGGGCAGCGGGGCTGCGAGCTCCTGGGGTAGTGCAGCTGCAGAGCCCGGCCTGACCCGGTCTCTGTGCTGCGCGGTGTGTGGCTGGCTTCAGCTGGGCAGCGCAGTTGCCTGTCCTGGTGCAGCCACGCCGCCAGCCACCGGTGCTCCAGGCAGCACGGTAAGTGGGCAGGCAATGGTGGAGGGGGGTTGGATAGAGGGCGGGGGGTGGTCAGAGGGCAGGAAACAGGGGGGTTGAATGGGGCAGAGGTCTGGGGGGCAGTCAAGAAGGAGGGGGGTTGGAAGGGGCAGCAGGGGGCAAGAAGCAGAGGGCGGGGGGCCGGGCCACACCTGACTGTTTAGGGAGGCACAGCCTCCCCTAACCGGCCCTCCATACAATTTCTGAAACCTGATGCGGCCCTCAGGCCAAAAAGTTTGCCCGCTCCTATGCTAGAGAGTGTAACATAGTGACCATGAGCAGTAACAGTCTAAAAGGAAAGCTTCTCCCCATATAACAAGGGGTAATTTTGCTTCCCCACTGAATGCGTACATGTCCCTAACAGGCAGGGCCGGCTCCAGCATTTCTGCCGCCCCAAGCAAAAAAACAAAAAAAAACAAAAACAAAAAAAGCCGCGATTGGCGGCGACAGTTCAGCGGCAGGTCCTTCGCTCCTAGAGGGAGTGAGGGACCTGCCGCCCCCGAATTGCCACAGGTGCCGCCCCTCTCCCTTGGCCACCCCAAGCACCTGCTTGTTAAGCTGGTGCCTGGAGCCGGCCCTGCATACAGGCCAAAAGTGAAAGTTAAGGCCGAACAAAGTAACAAAGTTCCCTTTCTCTACAGTAATGTACCTGATGGTACAAAAGAGTTACGTTACCTACCTTGTCTATTTCCTCTCCTCACACCTCCACCCCAACAGTGTGTGTGTGGGGGGGGGAATTCTTAACAAGTGGCTCACCAACATTTCTATGTACAGAAGCCAAGCAGCTGCCTGAGTGTTACTAGTGACATCTGGTGGGCAGCTAGGAAATACACTCAATAGTCTTGGCCACTGCATCTCCCAAGAGCAAGTAGCAAGAAATCAATCCACCAGGTTTGGTTTATATTTTGTGGATTGTAGTAGTCCAGCTGCAAAAAGGCAGAGAGCATGACCCAGACAGGGAACTCTGGGAAATGCATTTCACTCAACATGGATAGAACATTTCACACTAAACACACCTGATGAGAACATCAAGGTGCGAAGACAAGGGCAGCGAGGGTCTGAGGCCCAAGACATTGTTGTATAATGCTTAACTAAACTGAAGAAGTCCTGGGCTAATAAGCAGCCATGAAATTACAACTCCTAGCACACAACCCTCCATGTTTATATGAGCAACCAGTTCACCATGGAGCAGTGCATGCCAGGCCTTGTACAGGTGAAGCTTGCAGAGACGACAATTCTTCTGTCAACGAATGCGGTCTACACCGGGGATTAGGTTGGCATGACAACGTCTCTCAGGGCTGTGGATTTTTCACACCCCTGAGAGAGATAGCTAAACCGATGTAAGGTTTCAGTGTAGACCAGCCCTTCCTTGAGATTACTAAAATCCAAAACTACAGGTAACTCCCTCTTTCCCCGAGGAGGGACGGTTTCATAGTGCAGGCAGAGGAGAGTTCAGGCTCTGGGGTTCTAGTCACATTTCCAAAGGCCTAGGTTGCACCTGGCAAGTCACTTTACTTTTGTGCCTCAGAGTCCGCAGCTGTAAAATGGGGATAACTGTCTCCTGCAGATAAATGGTGCTACAGAAGGTCAGAACACTCAAGCGGCTCCTTCACTGATATGAGGCAGCTCCCACCTGCTGGAGAAGTTACTTAGCCAACTGGGGGTGCGAGGAGGGGAGTAGCAAACAAACACATCACCAGAACAGGTTTTAGGAACAAAATTTATTCCAATTTCAAACAGAGAATTTATTTCAGGAGAAAGATATGAAAATCAATTTCCATCAGGTATTTCTGCCCAGGAGCCAGTGCAGGACTGTTCCAAGAAATCGTCACACTCCTAGACTGGAAAAGAGAGTCTGGAGCCTGGCGCTGGGCAGCCTATTCAGAAACTCCTTTCCCCTCCCCCATCCCCTCCCCCCCACCCTAACACGCACAACAATACATGCATTTCAAATGACAAGGTTTAAAAACAGCATTTTATATAGCATCTTTTTAAATAGGATGTTTAAATTGTTTAAATCAGGATCCTATAATATACAAGTATAACCAAATAATTTCCACCACATTGGCACTTGTAAAGAGTCTCTGGCACTACTAAAGAAGGGGCATTGGCACAAACCATACTTTTAAAACTGGGTGCTGCATTACAGACTTTACCTCGGCTGGACTCTAACAACCTGGGTTTGTATAGTACAATACGATGGTCAGCACACGCCGAAAGCACATTTTAAAAAGTTACCAAGTAATAAAACACGTGGGGGAAAAAAAAAACCCACCCCGTAGCTGAAGGTAATGCCAACATCACTAGGAAGCAACAACAGCAGACCGAAGAATCCGATTCCAGGAGAAAGGGAAACAGGGAGGGGCAGTTGCTCACCATATGATTGATCCTTATGGAATGATGCAAGGAAACCGGACGCCAATGCAAGGAAAATCAGGACGATCTTCTCCACACCTCCCTCCCCCCATGGGTCTCTCCACTGTAAAGTTTAGGATGACTCGGAGTAGGCCTGTTTCAGAAAGTGCACTATGAACTGAGCTTGGCCAAGAGGCTGTTTCCTCAGCCTAAGATTTGGGATTCTTACATGTGAATCTCAACAGACTTCTGTCCTGAGCTTCAATCCCTTGTTCCTGGGAAATCCTGACCAGCCCTATCACCGAAGAGGATGAGATAGGCAAGTTTGGTTTTCGATTTGGCACTTTCACTAGAGCAGGCATCTGTTGTGGGGTCTGCCCCCAGAGATGCAGAGCAGCGCTGGTTCTGCAAGAATGCTCCACGATCTAAGAAGGCAAACAAAACATCTCTCGCCACACAGGGCCGGCTAATTCCCCAGCCTTCTCTTCTATGCTACAACCCACAGACACCTCTGGATTCTGTGCATAACTCTGACCTGTTCCTTCTCTAGGTCAGATGAGATTTCAGAAACATGTTGTGGGACAGCCCTGACATGTGATATCCCCACCCAATTACCCTCAAGCCCAACAGCTATGCCAAGCAACGGAGCAGGAGGGTAAACAGCATGTGCTCCAATCTTTACTAAAGCCCAAAATCCTTCCAGAATTCATCACAGCTAGACAAATGCACTCTGTTCCACACAATGGATGACGCAAGATCCTTCCTTCTGTGCCAGGTCAACATCTCTTCTCTTGGCAGGTAGAGGGACGATACCCACACAGATTCAAGTGGGAAGGGCCACCATCATTAACCTTGGAAAGAAACCTCTGGGACATTTGTTCCAAGAATCTGAATCTCTTAGCGCCAAGTCCACTGCCGGCAATTGGATGCAGTGCAAACCACTCATAAGATCAGGGAAGCAGGAGAACTGGCACACCGTATGTTCCAGAAGAACGGCATTTAGATTAGACCCAAGACGATTATAAAATCCTCTTCATAGAACACTTTCGACAAAAAGGATCATTTTGGCATAAAGACAAAAACGCGGTAAAATTGGTGCAAAGCTGTCTGGCATACGAGAGAATCCCGCCCTTGTTTCTCCTAAACATTAGGCAGGATCAGGAATGTAGTGATTCTACAAGCAGCTGCTGCCCTACTCTCAGCCAGACCTGGGTTCTCTACTTGTTGGTCCCAAGGCTATTACTCCAATACCAGCTCTCTGATACGGCCAGGTATCACCTCCAAGAGCTTTCTTTCTTCTGTAGTGCTCGGTGAAATACAGCAGTCTTCCCTCTCCTGTTTTGGGAAACACGAGGGAGCCCTAAAACAGAACGACTGGAAAGTAGTGTGAACTCCAGATTTAGTGTTACACATCAAAGGCATCTGGGGCAGTTCAATTTCATTACATTTTGTGCAAAACACCGATGTAGTGCTCAGTCTACAAACGAGACAACAAAATATTGGACACCCCCTTCAACCGTGCAGCTTGGGAGATTAGGGCCTTTGTTAGCCTTAAGCGACCAACAGCAGTCTTGAAGCAACTGAAGCCGTGTCTGGTTTATCCAGAGAATTTGGACCCAATGCTACTCGTTGGAATTGTAATAGAACCATTAGTGTTGCCCGTATTTCACATATGTCCAGAGGTGGGACAGATGCCACTGTTTCTTACTCACTGCTTGCCTTGCCATTGCAGTCTTCCTCTAGGCAGATACAAGAGGCAACAGAGCTTTGGTACATTTGCTCACTCACCTGAGCTTCTGGAAGCCTATAAAATGAGATAGAAGGGCTTGAAGCCCTCAGTTGAGTGGAATTCAATATGGCACCTAGAATCCATTCTGAGTAACACCTGTATCAACAAACCCAGCTGCCTTCCCCGTACTAGCCTGCTGTCCATCCCACCACAGGATTCTCACTTCAGCAACACGCTCCAAGAGTGGCTGCTGTACTCTCAATTATCAGGCACCCTGCCCCTCTGGAGCAAATATCTGTGCAAGTGCTCCAAAGAGAATCCATGCTCCTCTAAAGAAAAACCACAGCAGCATCTGTCTCAGGGAGAGCACAGACAGGAAAATAGTAATAGAACTCCCCAACTCCTCCTAAAACTTTTCACAATCTTTTCAAGCAGTAAGAACCCTCCCCACACCCCAGAGTCCGTGTCACCCAACTCTGGTCCTTTCTAGGCAATTTGCGAGCTGGGCAGGAATGAAGCACCCTTACAAATGCACACAGCTGGCACAAAATGTGATGAGGATTTCCTTGCTGTTCACAGCACGCAAGAGAACCAAAGCGTGGCACATGACATCTCAGGTCTTCAATCTGGAAAAATTTGGTGTTTAAATGCCACAAAATTACGCAGTGAGCTTCTGATCTTCGCTGCATAGAGAAGTCGCTCACTTGATGCCTTACACTCCACTCAGAGTGAAAGTTTCTTTCCATAAATTGAGCCTACTTTTAAAAATAATAATAATACAGTCAGGCACTTCTCCCCAGGCTCAGCAGCTATTGCTCCAAGAGCTCCCATCATTTAAAGTCCATGAACAAAATACAGCAATATGTAGCAAACTATGTATAGAACATCAATAATTTAAAAAAAAATAATAATAATCACAGTCTCCATACCTTTTATAATTGATAAGAAAAAAAAAAGTAACCCAGACTAAACCGTACAAAGAATGGAAAAGTGATGGCTTTTGTTGTTGTTGTGGGTTTTTTGCTATAGATGGAGAGCAATTGTTCCTCCCCAACATTTCATCACAGTGAACCATGGGGCGTGTCCTTGGGGAGGGCAGGGTGGGAACAAAAAGCAAGCAGGATTAATAATTACACCAGAGGCACCCTATGGCACAAGGCAAAGGGACCAGTAGCATTCCACACTCCCACAGTCCAGTGAATTTACAATCTTGGCCAGAAAAGTTATAGATCTCTATATATACCACGGGAATGAAAAGGAAAATAAAAGCGGCTAAGCGACAAAGTAAAGCCCAAGATGAGGCTGCCTTGGCAAAAATTAAGAGGTGAACAAGGTGCCGAAGAGTGAGGTGTATCCCCCCCCATTAACTGTGAAATAAAAGCAATTTGTTAAAAATATGAAATCAACTACTCTGTGGACAGAGACATGAGACTCCAGGATAACACTGAGCAAATTCGCCACTCCACAGATCAGACAATTTGCAATCATTACATCATTAAAAATTAAGATTTTTTTCCTGTAATTTTTAAATTTTTCTTTTTTTGTCTTTTCTTCACAAGGAGGCCTCCAAGGGGGCGAGGGGCAGAGCAGGTCAGACCAGGTTGTACTCCTTCAGGTTGAGCTGTAGGATGGTGTCCTTGACGGCAGCAAAGACAAAACGGATGTTTTCCGTGTCTGTGGCACATGTGAAGTGAGAGTAGATGATTTTGTCGCTGTCTGGGTTTAAATCCACAAACATCTTGAGAATGAACTCCCGGGCTGCCTGAGCATCCCTCTGCGGGCCTGCAGCAAACAAAGGCAACAGTAAACAGCACTGCACACAGTCCATTACTTGGTTTGAACCCCCAGAATTGCCAGCTTGCTTTCTCTCCACCCCCCACCCCAAGGGGAGGAGGTTATGTGACCAAACGGGAGAAGAAGAAATGTAGCTCCCTCGGTCGTGGAATCTGGAACATCTTATGCCGAATACTAACTGGTCAAATCCTAGGAGGTGCGTTTTAAGCTTCAGAATACCAAGCTCTGACAGGCTGCTTTGGACTCTGATCTATGAAACAGAAAATTTGACATAGCCTGCCAGAGGAACAGTCCATCTGGACCACTATACTGAAATGGCAAATAGTAATTGTAAATGAATCTCTCCTGTAACATACCTAGTCAATTGTAAAATAATGCAGATCTTGAGGATTGTAGATTTCTTCCTGATCCCTGTAGTAATCATCTCATGCCCTGAAGCACAAGATCTAGTTCCCATTATTTCTGCATGCCTAACAAAATCAGATTCGAATCAAGAAACAACCCTAAGACAACCAACTGTAGCATTTCCTCTCTAACCAGCCAGTTTATAGAGCTATGAACTGCAGCTGCAGTCAGTGTTCACTTTATGCCACTAGTAGCTCCTTAGACAGACACCTGGTGATGCTCTATAGTCTATTTGAAGTGCTTGGTGTTCTCATATTGCTTCCATAGCATGGACCACACCTTGAGAGAGAGCGCATCATCGACCACCTCGCATTCAAAAAAATCACACAGCATCCTTTGGCAGCTACAGCAATTGGTTATACGGAAAAGTAATATTAGGAAAGCATTTCACATATTTTTCTGCTACCTTCTACTGTGATTTAGCAGCTGAAGATATGAATTCACCATGGACAACCAATGATCTCCAGACTAGTGTGAGAACCTCTAACATTTACCACAAGTAAAGACTTCAGAGATGTCTGTACTTCCTGACACCAGGGGGCAGGAGACTCCAGGGCTGGAAAGAAGACTAATTAGGACCTGTTTTGTTACACTCCATAATGATGCAAGCAGCTTGCCTGGAAGACTGAACAGATAGAAATTTCTTCAGGGGAAAGAGGATTCTCCAACTGCTGCCAGTGAACTATGGCCAAAAACAAACAAACAAAAAATGGCGCTCCCTTTACCCAGACAGCAGTTTTCAGCTGCCTCAAAAGGTTAAGAGTTGGTAGGAGGCTTAGAAAAAAAAAAGCTTGTCTGACCTTATTCTCCTGTCCCCCATATACCTTCAATCTCATACAGAGTTGGCATCATCCAATTTAGTGGGAGACTGATCTGCAGATCAGAGGTTACAGAAAACACTGTTTATGCTGAAGAACTTAACCCCAAATGGGAGCTTCCCTGCATCATGAAGATATTATCAGCCCAAAGTTGGGAATAGCAGATTGACAGGGATTTTACCCTGCCTGAAGCTTTTCAACACCAACATCAAAAAGACTTGGATGATTTGACCAGTCCACAAATTAGCCTATGTGAAGAGACTGCTCCCTGCTCTGGCAGAAGGAGGGGTTTGATGGTCTAATTGGTGTTTTCCATCTCTCCTACCACTAAATTCTTGTATGTCTATAAAGTTCTACACCAGTATGTATATTTCAAGTATGGAAATTAATACTCTGAAATCAAAATAATCGCAGCTCAACTGAGATCCATGCACAGATCTACAGAAAGCAGCATTTCTGGTGACATTTGGCAGCTTCTTTAAATTGTTGATCTATGAAAAGTTTGCAGGTGTTTTTTCTGTCAGAATCCACAAGTTACATGAAGATTAAGATATTCAAATTTACTCGCCACTTTTGCTCTTTATTAAAAGTATTTCTACCTTACGAAGGGTTTGTCTCCTTCCAATGCCACTCGATCCTACAACAAATTCAGCCCTGAATCTGTAACATACTCATTTTTATAGCATCATGATTTCACTGTAAATCAAACAGAAGAAAGCAGGAAACAGAAGCCCACTCACATATGAATTAAATACCTAATTAAAAATCTCACAGGTGAAGTATTTTTTGTTGTTGTTTTCTTCCCCCTCCCCTTATTTAGAAGGTTCATTCTAGTTTGAAAGATCCTCTTTAAAAATCACTTACCATCAAACTCTGGGAAATAGTCAACAAGGTGGGAGTACAGGATCTTGTCTTCCAACAAATCTTTCTTGTTGAGGAAGAGGATGACTGAAGAATTCTGGAACCACGGGTAGGTGATAATGGTCCGAAAAAGGGCTTTACTCTCTTCCATCCGGTTCTGATGCAAGAAATAAACCACATCAACACACCAAAAACCCTCATTTGTGAAAACCTGGCCATCTCTGATCCTAGACACATGAACTCATCCACATCACCCCAGATCTCTCAGATGTCTTGTGTGGAACACCTTTGTCCCATTTCAGTTTTGGTCCAGTGGAGTGTGTACGTAGGAAACAAGTGCAACATCTGTGACTGACTTGAATTTAATTTGACTGGTTTTAATTACTTGCCAGTCAACGTGCTCTCTTATTGGCCCAAGTCATTTTATGCTTTTCGTTATCATGTGGTAGATCTGGGATCAACTTCTGGTCATGAAGATTTGTTCCCAGCAAAGGTATGTGTTGGCTCACAAGAAGAAGTGCCTGCTGCTGCTTAACAGCCACTCTTCTAGCTGGTCAAGGCACTAGAATGATGTTCGCAAAGAGACTAGCCATTATTTGGCAAGATGGTTGCCATGATACAAGGTATCTAGGGTGGGAAATTTAACATGGAAGAGAAAAAAGGAATGTGTGCAAGATCTTGAGGGCTTTTCATCAGGGACGCAGAGAATCTAAGATGTGGGACATCAGAATGTTTCTGCACTGTGCATTTCAAACTATCTTGTACCCTGCTTCCAGAAGGGTCATGACCCATTTAGCCCCAGGTTCTCTCTTTGTAGTGGGAAAAGCTGAAGGCCAAAAACAACAGTTACTACTAATTCAAGTTCCAGTTCTCTTGGCACCAAGCAGTTTAGTACCAGCCTCTAAGAAAATCAGAAAGACCCTCCCCACTTTCCCCTCATCATTAGGGCCTACTCCTGCTCAGGCTTACCTCATTATCAGACTCCACTAGAACTTGGTCATATTCACTAAGGGCTACTAAAAACATGATGGAGGTCACATTTTCAAAGCAATGGATCCACTTCCTTCGTTCTGACCTCTGACCCCCAACATCCACCATTCTAAGGAAGAGAAAGACATACAATCTGTCAAAGCAATAGCCTGTCAAGGATCAATAAGAGCGTCTCTGCCTGCACCCAAAGCACTAGGATATGAACGAGAGAAACACAACTGTCTCCCCCCAAGTGAAGCAGGCATCAGGATACAGTGACATGCGTCCTCTACAAGCAGTTGTGCTCAGACAGCGTAACAGGAAGTTCTCTGAATGCTAATTCCATGGCCACCTCCACGTTTGACCCATTTCTTTTTTCTGGGAGACTGACAGCAAAATATAAGCATCCTCATTCCTGTTTGCATCCTGGCCTCATTTACTGAGCAGAGCTTCTGGAACCAGGCTCATCCATCACCCTGAACTATGGAGATTGAAAAGAAACTATGGCAAATCCATTCAAATCCTGTTCTACCAAAAGCCAAAGCTATTTACATTTTGATATTAAGGCTTCATATTAAAACTTCTGATTGGGAGAGAAAGTTTGAGGTTAAGGACGTCCTTTGGCTATTGGGCTTTCCCCAGGACATTATGCTGAATGGAGTCATGCTAATCCATAGGCAAAGCATGAAACCCAGTCAGTCAACCACACAGTCACACCATATGCCGAAGAAAAACCATCAGGATACTGGGTCCGTAATTTGAACCACTATATTACACCTGCATCTCACTTCTATTGCACCTTTTATAAATGGAGCTCAAAAAAAAAAAAAATTATAAAACAAAGCCAACCAAGTCCAAAACCTATATCTCAATGGAGCATTATTCCCATTTCACAGATGGGGAATACAAATCAGAGACAGTGACTTGCTCAGAGTATGGCAAAGCAAAGAACTGAACCCCAAGTCCAGGTTTCTAGTCTCTCTTTCTACCACTTGTTCACTCTTCCCCCATTTACAACATTAGAAGCTATGACAGCATGGACCAGATAAGTATCTAGATAGAATAAAGGAGAATGCCTGTTGCAAAGTAGCAAACATGTTACCATGCCTCTGTATTTTCTGTCTATTTGGAGATCGTATAAAGGCACAGTTAAACCTACAGATACACACATGATGCAGAAGTGAGTCAAATCCTGATGGCACAAGCTATTTCTAGGAGACCACCTTCGGAAGACACACACTGGAGAATACACATAAAAGAGTCAGTATAGAGAAAGCAGGATCTCTCATCAAAGTTAAAGACATACGGATCAAAGCACCTCAACACTGCATGAAGACAGAAGAACTTCTTGCAAGGGGTTATGTTTCAAACCAGTGTTGCCAGAAGACGACTTAGTTTTTCCTTTGGTGGATTAAGCTACCAACAGTTTGTCCAATGGGCTGGTGAGCTGTGATGTACTCATCAGATGCCAGCATGTTAACATATCACCGGAGGAGCCACAATTCCAGCTGTCCACCCACCTCAGGTTCTCTGGATAGAATCAGCAAGTCTAGTACCAAAACTATGCCATTTAACCAACACCCTCCTCAATTTCCAGAAGCCATTGGTTTCCACTCCTCTCACTCAGATGCCCTTAATCAACTTAAAAATCATACCATGTTTAGGGACCACACAGAATATCCCCCCCCTTCCCAAACACACTCTTAAGTCTTCCCTAGCTAAGAACAGTGCTCCCACAGTTCAGTCCCACTTGAGAGAACAAGTATAGCGTGGGCTACAGCTTCAGTACCTGAAGATAATATTCTCTAGGTCGAAGGGGTATTCTATTATTCCGGTTGTAGGAACTCTAACCCGTAGCACATCTTGCTGGGTTGGTAGATATCCTGGGGTTGCGATTCGATCCACGTCACTAAGGTAGCTGTGAGAGGCATATGAAGAAAACAAAAAAAGCACCTTAGACTGTAGCTCACACTCATGGGGGTTTCAACACATTATAGCCATAGATTCCTCGCTCCCCCCGCACACATGTTAAGGAGACCAAAAGAAATCTGACTGCTAGCAGCATCACTAGGATCATTTAAAATGGGACAGGACCAAGTACTGGAAGTCATACTGAATCCCAAGGAGGCCTAATAGGTTTCTCCACATGTACATTTCTATGACTGCCTTCTATCAATTGACAGCAATTCCCCAGAATCTCTTCTGACGTAGTAACTACCAAGTGTTACACCTCACAAAAGTTACAGCCAAACATTCAATATCTATCTCAATCAAGGGAAGAGAGGAGGCCATGTGCAAAGCAGCAGATACAAGCAGCTCTTCTCATACTTGTTGCTTCAAATAAGAAGCATGAAGGCAACCGATTTAGGAAACCGTTACCATCTCCTAGGTCTCTGGAAATCGGTGCTGTAGCAAGTCCTTGCTATAGGATGGATTTTGGCATTTCTAATGTTTACTGCAGAATTCAGTTTAATTTAAAATGAACTACCTAGCCCTTCTGGTTATAAAAAAAAAAATCTCTATGACCCAACGCACTGCCATCTTCCAGAGTCTCTATGCGCTCAGACCTTCTGCAACAGCTCCAAATGTCAAATCCTGATCCCCCTCAACCCATGGCTCCATAAGACTAAGTCAACAGGGGAAAGTGGCATTTCTGCTGTGTAGGAACCAGGAACAGGGTACAGAGATGGTCTGGGTGGACACTCCATAGCCACCTGTGCATCCTGGGACAGAGGTGTGAACAGCTCCATTTATCACCCAACAGAACTCGTGGAAAGCAGCTGGTGGTGCTACAGGAGTGTATGGATCTTCCAGACATTCCATACTAAAAAACGTATCCCATCCCATCCTCTGCTCCCAAACTCTTTGTGTGTAACAACTGAAGCCACAAAACCAGAATCAAAAAAGCACGGTGATAAGAGTTGTTTGGAACCAGAGTTACTGAAAAGGCAGGGAGGCATATACTTACAGTTCAAACTCAGAAGCCTACACCCACATTGCCTAGATTACCCCACCAGACTAAATCATTAGCAGACAGATACACCTATATCATGGGGTGAAGTAATAGGAGGAAAGCGGATAGTCTACAAAAACTAAAAGAAAGCCAGCAGGGCCAGTTTGCAGTGCGATAACCATATTCAGGCATCTGTAGACATCAGCTAAGTTATAGGAAGCTTTTGTTTAGCCAACGTGGCCCGGATATCCAGCAGCGCACCAGAGTGCTTATGTACTTACTACTTAGCTGAGTCGGACAGCTGATATTCTCGCCTCCTGTCATAACACTCTTGGATTCCAGGGTCAGTCCACAATGTCTTAATTGCACTTACATATGGCTGCTCAAAGGTTGAGACTTTTTCTACGTCCACTTCCCGAATCAGCAGTGCATTGGTCTGAGGATAGAAGAGTAAAAGACAAGTGAGCATACATTAACCTAGATCCTCTTGCAAGGGCTCCAGGAATGCTACATCTTGGATGCTAGTCAAGCTGCTTACATCACCTGCAACAGGACAGCAATGGGCAGACTAGACATCTAAAAATTATCCATTCAATTTGTACTTAGACCTCCAACAGGTTAAAAGGAAAAACACCAATTTTATATTCTCAGTACCAGCCACATCTGTAAAAGCTCCTGGAAGCATCACATGATCCTTAACAGAAATTATTTAAACAGAAATGGCAACAGACTCTCTGAATTTAACTTACCAAGTTGTGCTAGAGCATAAGGCACCCACTGTTTAGAAACACCAAAACCCAAGCACAGATCTGAGAGTGTGGCGTCCCAGACTGCCGGATTGGGGAGTGCAGTCAGTTTTATTACCAGAACGTAGCTGCCTAGTGTTTCATTGTAAGGCTTTAATTGATTTTAGCTTACATTTTTAAGAGTGTGGGAGACCTTACTGCAGTCTGCTATAATCCAGGCCTCTTCTTTTATGGAGGAGGAAAAAGAGAATTGGAACAAAATTGACACCACAAAGTGGAGCAGGACTGAAGTCATCACTGCAGCCTGTTGTATTAATACAACTACTACACACGCCAATACTGCAATTCCTAAGGGTTTTCTGGATGCAATGAGAAGCAATTTCTGTTCACCCACACTATACTTTTCTTCAAAGGGAGAATTTAATCTAGTTTGCTTTCCTATGTACATTAAGCGTTAGTGGAAGGTGACAGATTATAGCCCCTAGAGTCCTTTAACCACACCCCAGAGATAACACGGGTAATGCAGGCATCCTCATACCACGCCCATGCCTTAGCATTGACCCAGACAGACTCTTTCTAAAGGCCAAAGGGGAGTTAAGCCTTGAAGAACCATTCAATCCTTGGCCCCTCTGTTGAGAATGCAAACAAGAGGGCCAGTTAGAGGCAGCTGTGATGTGGATACCTGGTCATTAAGAACTCATTTGAGCCTTTCAACTCTTCTTCCATTTACCACTTAATAGTGATATCTTCAAGGCTATCCTGACTTGGGCCTCAATTTGGACCAATGATCTAGAGAAGAAAGGTGCCACATCCTATTACTAATCCCCTAAAGCCTCCCAGTCCCTATGTGGCTATTAAAAAAGTTAAAATATAGCAACTACAATACACCTGGTATAACTTTTGCACAAGTTCATTTTGAAAAATAAATCCACTAAGTGTTGAGACAGCAGAGCATACTAAAATCTACGTTCTTGACATTCACACACTTAAAATCATCTGCACTCATATACCTTACAGTCAGCTGAACAAATGTAAACCATATTTGGCCCAAAAGTCTCTAAAATCTTGTAAACCAAGCTTCATCCCAGAATAAATGTTTGTGTTGAGTTACAAATCCTTAAAAAAAGGTTAATAAAAGGAAAATTGACAGATCTCCATCTGCAGCTGTTAGTAGGTGTCACTCTAATAGTGCAATCTTCGGGGCTCTACAACAGCTCCCTTATGCATCTTCTGGCATTCGGTAATGACGCCTGTCATACAGAGGAAGGCCCAGCACATTCAAAATGCTTTGGTCTTTGTGAGGTGGGTGCAGATCAGTTCCCACCCCTAGAAATTTTTATGTGGGACAATTCACAGAAGTAGAACACACATGTCTAGTCAAATGAAAACTGTTATACTCCCTATTGACACCTCTATTAATAAAGCCACAGAGCGGCATAGTACCACAGCAGCAGTGGAGGATACAACTGCCATACGGGGCCAATTATCAGGAAGTTTGAACAGGTAGCGGATATAGTACAAAAGGCAGCACACATACAGGGCAAGAACCTACAGCTGTGCCCTAAAAAAAACCCCTCAGACAAACATGAACTGGTGAAGCAAATCCACCAAGCGACGAAACGATGGCTCGATGGAGCTCTGCAATTCGGCTCACCTTATTCTGTTCGTACTTGTATAGGATCTTCAGGGTCTCCATGGCCCTGATCATGGACTGCATGGCAGTGAAGATGTTTTGGTACACCAGCTTGGTGAAGCCCCTTTTGTCCTCTTCAGAGTAGCCGGAGCCATGAATTATCCTCATCTGTTTGATAAATGTGCTCTTCCCACTTTCCCCAGTGCCTGCAAATGAAGAGACCAAACAAAGGGAAAAAGTCAGTCGAGATCACAAATGAGGTTCGGTACAGAGGGAGTAAAGCTTTTATTGCATCCTACTCCACTGCACCTATTAATGTATCCAAGTGGATCTACTCCACTGATTATTACTTCTCCAGTTCCTTTTTGGAAGTCTATATAGAGGTCCTGGTGGGCCCATCCGATGCCAACCATAAGCCTAACGGACCATGATGGAAAGAGCACTTGTTCTTTTTGACAGGCTTAAAGCAATTCTGGTACTCACTCCAAATCTTACATTACAGCCACTCCCACCTCAAAAAGCCCCCTCCCTCCGTCACACCTGACCTATTACCATACAATCCAGCTTGATGCTATAATCACAGCTCCAGCTAAACTCCCTGATATATTCCTAAATCAGTACATTATACAAACTGGGGTGCCAAAGGGTGTGGGGGAAGGCTGTTAGATCATGAAAGCTCCAGTAGAATTCTCATTATTTTAGTACAATCACTCTTTCCCTACCCAATCTAGATGCCTCCTTACTAGATATGAACTCGATATATTAGAAAGAGCAGCTCTAAAAGAAAGAAGGGGTCAAAAGACTACCTGCACCACATATTTTTCTTCTCAGTGGCCTGAAACCATTGTGAAATATTTAAAAAAAAAAAATCGTCATGTGAAGTGGTAATCCTTTTTGGATTAGTTTGTGATCACTATCTTCAGAAGTTCAGATGAGAAACAACTTGCGAAGGGGACTAGGAAAGGAAATCTCAAATCTCTACTGCTGAGCAGAGTTTTAAAAGAAAAACAGACCAGCAGGCCAAACAGCAGGAATTAGTAAATAAAGAGTCCAGACACAGTTGAGATGCCGCAAACATCTGAACTCTCAATCTCTATCCCTGCTGAAATGGACAAAGTCATCCTTTATCAGTTAGGGGCTAAGTAAGAGGGACACAACGGGTATCAAGCAGATAGGTGGCTTATGTTAATTTTGGCAAGAGGACTGCTAAAGTTTTAGGGAAAGTTACTCTTTTGCCTAAAAGCTTTTACCTACTATTGTTCCAAGTAACATTGAAGATTACTTTAACCCACAGATTTGAGAGTCTTCCTTGTTTCTTCTGTTTGTTACACTGTGGCATTCAAGAGTACTTTGCCTAGTCAGTCTCCCCCGTTTGTGTGAGTCTCTTGCACAGCAGCGAAGGCTCTGCAGACTCTGTGGTAGGTGCAATACCTTAAATTATAGAATTTAAAATTAACTAGATTTCAAGTGAGTGTTGCTTCAACACAGCCAAGCACAAATAGCGAACATCTCCAATAAAAGAAAAGGGATGACAAGAATGTGCTCTGAAACCAAAAAGGCTGTGCTGCAAGTGCTGCTTGGGCAAAGTACAATGCAGACAACGCACCACTCATCACATGGTACAAGCCTCCCCCATTACACTGCTTTAATACCTGTTTGTGAAGGCCAGGTAGATTTGCACTGGTTGGATGTTTCATACATCCCTAACCCTTTCAAAGCTTGCATTCTGTACATGCAGTCAGGTGGGAAGATAAACATTCCTGCCATTAGGGGCTTAGGAAGATGTAAGCTGCATCAGGTGACAGTCCAGTGATGAAAATAAAGAGTGGGAAAGGGACAAAGTGAAAACCTTCTTATCTTGAGGGAGAAAGGGTGGGCAAAGAAAGGCTTCACACAGCCCTGTCACAATCAGGACCCAACGAACGTTGGGGGAGAACGGGGTTTTCTCCAGTGGCCTCTTCTGCATGTATTCATTTATATGGCTACTGATCAGCTGTAAGGATTGACCATATACGCCTTCCACAGACTGTCCCCCCCCGCCCATAGCCACCTTAGACAGTCTGCAGCTAATTCCTTCACAGAGCAATAGCTCAACTGTACGCCGTCCAATCTCCAGAAATATGTATGTTCATTCTACAGAATGCTCTTGTGGAAGTTTTCCCAGATTTGCAGTTGATGTGCATTTAACGAAAAGCTGCCTCAATATGGAGCTTTGCTGATTATATTGGCCTGTGTATTACTAGATTACAAGGGTAATGAACCCAGGCACACGCTCATCTTGAGAAATATTAGGAAGGTAACAAATCCTTCAACTCTCCAGATTCAGGGACACAATCTATGGAAAATCCCTGGCTTCAGCAACGTGAACCATCAGATCTCCAACTAGAAATCAGGGGGGTTCTACGTATAAAGACGGAGGCTCATTTATCACAAATGCACATAACAACTCCTTATGAGTAGATTCTGAAGTTCCTATGTCTATTCTGCAGGGCAATAAACAAATACCCAAGCAGAAAAAAGAAAAACAAAACACCAAACCAGAAAGAGCAAGAAAAGACTAAAGAGCCTAGCAGAATTTTTAATGTCTCAGTTTACTGAACATTAAAATAAATTATGTAACTGCCACTAACTAGCTATCTTGGTATCCTCTAGAAAGTTACACCACACACACAAAAAAAAAAAAAATAGTAATAAAAAAAAATCAGAAAGTGAAATCTTTTGCGGTTGAGTACACTGTGGTGAGAAACACTTCCTCGTGCTTTTACCACAGTAACCAACAAAGAGTAGAGGCGCCTCAAAGCACTTTGATGATGCAACTGTGATACAAACTTGAGCACCAGATCACTAACTTAGGTTCACTTATTCTAGCACACAAGAGATCAAATGCACAACCCCTGACCTTCCATTTTTAAATACATGCCTCCTGCTTGGCTTCGGTCCCTCAACAATATACACACCATCATGGAACACCAAAAATGCCAGTGAGGATAGTCTCCTGTCTTCATAAGAACATAATAACCTTTTTTATATGATAATGTTGAGATAAGGGAATAATCTGAGCTCACCATTCCTTCAGTCAACCCATAAAAGCCACATAGTTTATAAGTGTTGCTGATGACAAATGCATTTGAAAACGAACTCATGTGTTGGGTCAATGGCACCCATTGCTTACTTTCCTATTATTCTGGGACCAAAGTAACTTTACACAAGAAAAATAACCTCATTTTCTTCATTAAAAAGATTAATGTATGCCCAGTATCAGTGGGCAGTAACTGAAGCACTGAAACAGCACTATTTATTAGCATTCCAACTCATAACAGCACTTCTATTTTTCACTCAATATTTCTGGTTCAGGCTTCAATATAAACCAACTGTCACCACACTGGCCAGCGAAGCAGTGTGGAAGAAATTACCTCTGCTTACCCTACATTCTTATTGATACTCTACTGTTTTTATGATTTCTCTTAAAATATATCCTGCCCTCCCCAAAATTCTTCACCAAGAAAATGCCTCTCTCTAACTAATATGATCTGCATTTATGCTGCACCATACACACCAAAGGATTCCGAATGACTTTATGAACCAGACAGAGGAAATTAACTTCACCCACCACTAGAACTACCCCCTTTATGGGCTAACATGACTCCTGCTTAACAGTGCACAATACTACGTAACAGTTTAGGAGAGGCAGTGAAGAGTACCATATCCTGTTGAAAGTGAAAATGGAATATAAAGGAGACAGAATGCAGTTATTAGGGCTAACACTGTATTCTTAGGCCTCGTCTAAACGATGGATGTCTCCTCCCAAATCCTAACTAGTTTTTTAAAAAGTTTAGCCGAACTGATTTTAAAACAGGTTGGAGCCAGTTGTAGACCAGGGTCCAGACAGCTTGAGGTTTTTTGTTTTTAAATGAATCAGTTTTCAAACTAGTTGAGTCAAGGAATGGTTCAGACCTCCTGGAGCTTACTCTAACCATGGTACAACCAGTTTTAAAACTGGTTCACATTAACGGTTTTAAAGCCAATTAGATTTCGGGGAAGGAAAGTTCTCTAGTATAGACTCAGCCTTAAGAAAATTGACAAGTGATCAGAAACCTGGTTTTACATTTCACCTGGACAGCAGCACCTCCAACATGCTTTTAACATGCTGCTGGGATACTGTACTATTAATGGCTAGGAAGAAAGTGCACCATTTACTCAATCAGTAACACCACTATGCATCAACCTAGATATTCCTATTCAGTCATTCCTGGCCAGACCAAGCCTCGCTTAGCTTGTGAAAGCTGATGCAGACATACCCACATGTGGATTTGGAACTGGACCACCTTACATCTTCAAACATCCCTGACTGGCATGCCAGTTCAGTACACATACCAAATTAACAGCCTTATTTAATCAGACCTGCTTCCCATTTTGATTTGAAATCACAGACACAATAGATGACAAGGCCTATGACAGAATGTATAAGAGAGCAGCAATAACTTAGTGTTTTCATAGGTCTCATGGTTTAAGAGTAGCTTATGGGCTACCTGCATCCCAGCATCACATTTCCTGCTAACAAAGTCTGTAATCTATTAATTTTTGAAAACTTATGATGGCAGCTCTCCGAAAACCATGTAGAAGAACGGATTCCCTATCCACTTGGAACCTCGGCGGTACTATGAGACACCTTAGTATGCTGATGGAGATATGAACATAGACAAAATGTTGTTTACATACTTAAATGACACTCTCACCCCACCAGTGTGGTATCTGAACAGGTATGTCCTTATCCTAGTACAGTGGAGCCCCACTCCTAGAGCTAGTCCTGACTATTTTCCTTTCCAGTACTAATCCTGCTCCATTCTTATGACTCCATTTGACTTCAGATTTACTTTGCCTTATCTTTATTTCTCCTTGCCCGCCCTCCCCCCCTGTAGGCTGGTTTAGAGAGCTCTGTGCCCTGCTGGAGGAGAGAATGTGAGGAAAAGAATGGTACCCAGGGACCTTGGGAGCTGTAGCTGGATAAATTCCCCCATTTAACAAAGGAGGGAGAAGACCATAGAGACCACCAGACTAGGTGGAGATGACTCCTTCATGAAAGACCCAAAAGCCTGCCAACAATATATAATTACACCAGTTTTAGTAATGAAAATTCTCATGCACAAATAAGGCAGTAGGTCCAACTCCCCTATAAAAGAGTTCTCCAAGAGGATTCTTTTAAGACTGAGAGTCATTTCAATTTTGAAGTTTCTGCTTAGGTCAAAAGCAATTTTAACACAAAATCCACTATGAAAGAAAACAAATAAACCAGTCAACCCCCAGATGGAGTAATTTTAATATTCAAAATGTAGAATGAATAAGGCAAATAACTGTTTAGAAGTTACCATGCCCTTCTTTTTAAATTTCCCAAACTGTTTTTCCTCATGAGTTATATTTTGGACAACAGCAAAGTGCCTGACAGTGGTCAACTCTGATAAGTAGAAAAAGGTGTGCGGAGTTGGGGGTCTGACCAGCATAGATGTGCCTCCAGAGAGTCACTAGAGGTTAACATGTGGGTTCTAAGATGGGGGAAAGGAAAGATGGCTACTACTGAGTAGTTAGTATAGTGCCTAGCACAATAGGACCCCATTCTTTGTTGGGCCTCAGACACTAGTATAACAAACACAATGATTATTGTCAACAACAAATACATGTAGCGCTTAAAAGGGACATCGTTTTTAAAGCATGTGATGGGTGCGAAAAGTCCCTATTTTCACATATGCAGGGGGCTGCCCATATAGCCACAGGGGATGTGCTCACAGCAATCATCCCTGGGGAAGAAGGTAACTGAGGTAGGGGAGTGAAAGCCAGATTCAGGGTGGGAACGATGGGAAGAGGGGAGAAGATCCAGGGGAGGGGGAAGGAGGAGATCCAGGGATGGGATCCAGAGTAGGGCAGGTGCTGGGGTCGGAGGGCAGGGGAAGAAGAGGAGAAGATCCAGAGAAGGGCGAGAGCTCTGGGGGAGAGGAAAAGGGGGTCGGGGTGGGAAGCGATCCAGAGCAGGGCGGGTGCTAAGGGGTGGGGGTCAGCGGGGCCCCCAGAAGAGGAAGAGAGCCAGGGCGGGGGGGGCGAAGGGGGGATCCAGGGCGGGGGGTGGGCGAAGGGGGGGATCCAGGACGGGGGGGCACGGAAAGGACCGGGGGGGCTGCCTGGCGCGGGGCGGCGGCCGCGGGGGGCTCCTCACCCAGCAGCAGCAGCTTGAGCTCCCGGCGCGCGTCGCGCTTGTCCCGCCGCAGCTGCTTCTCGATCTCGGCGTTGATGCGCTTCGACTCCTTCACCTCGTCGCTCAGGCAACAGGCCATCATGGACTCCAGAGTCATGGCTCCGCCGCCGCCGGGACCCCCGGCCCGGCCTCCTCAGCCCGGGACCCCGCCGGCCCGGCCTCGGCCTCGCCCCCTCCTGCCAGGCCTCGCGCCGCTCCCACCCCTCAGCGCTCTCCCCTCCGCCCGGCTGCGCCGCCGCCGCCGCCCGCTCCCTCCTTCCCCCTCAGCCCCGCCGAGCGAGCGACAAGCGCGCGCAGCCTACCCCGCTGCCTCTGAAAACAAGGCCTGACTGACTGCGGCCGCCACCAATGGGAAGCTCTTCTTGGCCGGGAGGGGCGGGGTTAGTAACGGCCCGGGGCGGGGCCCGCAGGGTGCAAGTTTGGTTGGCCGAGCAGGAAGGGAGGAGGGAGCTGGACGCGCGTTCAGGAGCCGGGGCGTGGGGCCGCTGGGCATTGTGGGATGGTGGAGGACTATGGGAAAGGGGGGGGCTAGGTGAGGGAGTGAGTGGGAGGAGGCTGAACAGCTGGGGAGAGGGGGGGCGCTGCTGGGCAAGCTGGGCTGTGAGGAGGAGCAGGA